GGGGTGCAGCATCTAGTATCAATTATCCACAATAGAAACAATTGGTATTGTTGAGTGACAGGCTTCAGTCCTTCATTGTTCGACCATTGGGGGCTATGTTTGAAACCCGTCAGTGACAAGGATGCATCCAATGACGTGAATCACCAGTGACATGTCGGTCCTTTTCAAATATTTACTTTAGTGATACTAATTAGTCATAATAATGATAGTAAAGGCTGTCTCTTATACACATCTGCACCACAGGGATATTAGGTAGATCTAACTTTGTTGATATTGCATGCAAATTTAAATTACATGTCTTCTTTAATAGCATATTGCTTCCTTCTGGTACATCTTTATCTAGTCGATCTGCTTGTAATGCATTAATATTATGTTTACTCATCTGTACTTTACTTGTAGCAGCTGATCCCTTTGGAATGGTTTTGTAGTTTGGTGGTGAAGAGGTTTCAAATTGTGATAACTGATTTTGTGCACCATAGTGTTTTGGGTTGTCAGCACATTTCGGTTGATTCAAAACATCTAGTTGATCAGTTAATGTCTTTAATGAACACTTTACCTTTTTTTGACCATCCAACAAAATGTCATGTTTGAAATTCATCTCTTTTATTAACAACTCATTGTTCTCTCTGACAGTTGAGACATCTTTCTTGACTGTCTCTAACTCCTTGAACACACTACATACCATGTCTTTCAATTCCCTTCCATCATGTCGGAGTTCTTCAATGAACTTATGTTGATCAGTGATGCTAATGTCCTGTTTTGCATACAAGTCAATTACCTTCTTATCGACACCTAATTTTTGGAGGATTTTTGACAAGCGAATCCATTCATTTCTGAAATCTGGTTCACTGATACGACAGCAGTGAGCATGTGCTTTGGCATTTCTAATGTTCTTCAGTCTGACAATGTTAGCTAGATCAGAATCACCATGCATATCATGCCACTGTAACTCAGTAAAACTGAAGTTGCATAAATGTTTTATTAACAAGAATATCAGTGTAATGTCAAGTTTGTTTATATCAACTTTGCCCTTTGATGGAAATAACTTCTTTTGTTGGGTCTTTGTTAGTACAGCTGGTTTCATTTTTTTAATAAGGTTGTCCTTGTTACTTGCCAAAAAATCATGTAGGTTTGTTGGTAGTATAGATATATGACTAAAGAAAAAGTTCTTCATAGCATCTGTACCTTCACAGATGAGTAAGCAGCATAACCGAGAGAAGTTTTCGGTTTCTTTATCGTATACCGGAAGATCTGCCATGGTTGTACAATCACTTAGAATACCTTTAGAACAACTACTGTTTTTTTATCTTACACCTAAAAAATAGAATTGAAAAAAAAATTAGGAGGGTACCACAAGTTTTTTATGAAAAAATTTTAGTGAGTGACTTTACTTCGTTAAAACTCAATCATAATAATTAGGGGCATATCATTGTTAAAATATATGAAGACAGCACTTACATTAAAATTAAATCTTAGTACTATGTGCCTAAATTTTAGGTTTGGTTTCAAATACAGTACAAGTTCTGTAACCTACTCTTTTGTGCACCCCTTTAATATCTTGAATTTGCATCTGTTAAGACCTTTAATACACATGTCTAGCCAGACCAGGATGTAAAATAAGGCCTGTGTGTGGGATATACAGTATCCTCCGTGCAAAAAAATTAGGCCTAGAAATCTGTCTGCGCATTTCGGAAAATAAGGGCCAATTTCTGCATAGATTTTGCCAAAATCAGAAATAGACCATTATTAGTTTATCACCCTCGCGCGCATGCCTTTTATAGTACTGAAAAATAAAAAATTTGTTAGAAAAAAAAATTTTTAATTTTTTTTTTTTTTAAATTTTATCTATTTATTTTTTTCATTTATTTTATTAAATAGTTAGTAGATATTGTTTGCATTATCTAAATCATGTTTTACTTTGAATATCAATGCACCAGCAAACAACCCAAGGGTGATATTTGGCTTTACCAAAATAAAAAATTAAAAAAAAGTCCCTCATCACTTTTCCTGCCCAGATAGGGTGATAAACTAATATTTTTTATAGGGCCTAATCTTAACATTATAACCCAGGCCGGCGGAACATTTTTCACAGTGGGGGGAAGCCCACTAGTAAGATGAATGAGAATATGAATCAGGGGAATCTGGGTTCAAATTTATGGGTGGGGGTAAACAGCACCTCCTCCTAGCTAGTCTAGGCCTACAGTACTTATATAGTACTAGGCACGCAGGCCTAGCTAACAGAAGCAGGTCAACTCGGCCACAAGTCAACTCGGCCACAGTCAACTCAGCCACAAGTCAACTCGGCCACAAATCAAATCAGCCACAAAAAGTGCGGCTACAGTCAACTCGGCCACAAGTCAACTCGGCCACAAGTTAACTCGGCCACAAGTCAACTCGGCCACAAGTTACTTATAATTAAAATGAAACGTAAATATTCCAGTTTCTGCATCCTCTTTCTTCAATATGATTAAAATGAAGTACCGTACACAGTATATTTTAGTAAAATTCTGATCATCGTCTCATCGTCGTGAGATCCGATTATACATTTCTTCACACTGTACTCTTATTCAACAGAGAAAGCCCGCCACTTACAAATGGAATAAAATCTGACAATTGTAACATTAACAATTAAGCAATCTTAATAATTAAGAAAAACACATATATTAATGTTTAATTTTATTCACGTTAAAACACTGACATAAAACATGAGTACATACTGTAGACCTAATCATAAAAAATTGAAATAGAAAAACCACATTATGATTTTTTAAATGTTAAAAATTTATTTTGAATCAGACTAAAATCAAATGAATTATGCACGATGGCGTGCATTTCGATACTATTTTCTTCAGAACCATGCCCAAGAATTAGGCCTAGATTAAAATTAGGCGGGGTGCAGCATCTAGTATCAATTATCCACAATAGAAACAATTGGTATTGTTGAGTGACAGGCTTCAGTCCTTCATTGTTCGACCATTGGGGGCTATGTTTGAAACCCGTCAGTGACAAGGATGCATCCAATGACGTGAATCACCAGTGACATGTCGGTCCTTTTCAAATATTTACTTTAGTGATACTAATTAGTCATAATAATGATAGTAAAGGTGATAACAACAATATTACTGTAATAGTAATATTTATTTTAACAATACTACTGTAATAGTAATAATATGGTAATAATAACAATATTTAAATATCTATTTTAATTATATTAATTAGTGATAACATTGAAGGTGATAATAGCAATAATAACAGCAATAATAAATTAAAGATAACGTTTATTTTTATGATACTGTAATAGTAATACTAATTAGTAATAATAATAATAATTATGATAATTATAATACTAGGCCTACTTCGATAATAAAGGTGACAACAACAACAAAAATAATAATAATAATAATAATAATAATATGAGAAAAATACCAATAAAATACCAATAACAATATTTTTAAAATTACTATTAATAAAATAATAATACGAAGACTAATATATAATAATAATATGAATAAAAAAAAAAATCGAAATTTTTTTATTATTTATATGGTAACAATAATAATATCAGCAAAAATTTAAACAATACATAATGTTAATGCTAAGACTAATAATTAATATTAAAACTAACGGTAATAAAAACAACAATGACACCAATAATAACAGCAATAATAATAATTGTGGCCAAGTTGACTTGTGGCCGAGTTGACTGCAGCTGAACTTTTTGTGGCCGAGTGGATTTGTGGCCGAGTTGACTTGTGGCCGAGTTGACTGTGGCCGAGTTGACTTGTGGCCGAGTTGGATCGAATTCTAGCTAACCGGCTAGGCCTAACCAAATTACCCATGCCTATATGTATGGTAGCCGGTCATTTCGGTCGCGCTTCGTTATGGTCGCGCCTCATTTCGGTCGCGGTTAATTTCAAACAAATATATGGAGCGCCAAAGGAGTTGCGAAAACGCAAAATTTAATATGCCTACAATATATAATTATAATTAGTTCGTCAATCGGTTTATCATAGGCCTGTATTTTTTTTTTATTTCCGTTTTGCTATCTTTCAACTACTAGACTGTGGGCCAATAGCCAAATAAGCCTTTAGTTTTTGACTTCCGCAGTCCACCCCTAAAAGGCAGAATTTCCTTCACTGGAACATGTTACTTATGTTATTACAAGCCAAAAACAAAAAAAGTTCCACCAAAAATTATTGATTAATAAGGGGTCAAGGTCATTTAAAGGTCAAAGGGGCTATTTTTTTAAAAATGATGCAATGTCATCATGTTTGGTATCAAACGAAAGCTTACAATGTGCAGATGACCATTCTTAACAAAAAATATAAAAATTAATACTAATTAGGAGGTCAAGGTCATTTTAAATATCAAATAGGGTAATTAACAAAAATGGTGGAAAGTAGTTATAATTGGTGTCAAAAGAGAGCTCAAAGTATTATGTACAAGTAAAGATTTTCAATGCAAAATATAATTAAATTAATTAGACGTCAAGGTCATCCAAAATTTTAATACAGGTAATTAAGAAAGTGAGGAAAAGTCATGCTTGTATCAAATAAATACTTGTGATGTAAATTCCTTACGTGGTCTGCATCGAGGCTTCCCTTTTCGGGCTAGCCAGCCTAGCATAGGTTAGGCCTAGTCTTGTCTAGGCCAGGCTCTACTACAACTCTAGGTTAAGCCGGTGGGTTAGGCCTAGCCTAGGCTCTAGCTGAACCATTTTTAATTTTATATTCTTCCTGAGAATTTCAGAGTTTAATGCTAGGATATAGATACGCTATATTCTTAAAATCTACCAGATAATGAAGCTATGAACTAACCTGTTTGCGATCAGTTTGTCGAGAAAAACCAAAGAACGTACTGAGGGAGAGGCGACAAGATGATTACCACAAAATAGTTTTGTTTTGTTTGTTCCCGATCAGCTTTTGGAGATTTAGCCGATCTCATCAGCATTGACCAATCAAATCGATGAGTTGAGAGGTGTGTCATAGAATTTAGCCAATTGTAGTAGAACGAAGAGACGCACCTCTATGTCACCCACATTATGGGCTAGCGAAGCCTAATGATGCAATGTTCAATGTAAATGACTTTCAGACGCGTCAAAGTCGATTGCGACGCAGAAGAAGTCTTGACAATGTAGTAGATTTTTTTTTTTGCTCACTGGTACTGGTACTTGTGTACGGGCATTTATAATAATGCGCCTCTTCCTTGCGGTTATAAAGCGCAGTTCCTATAAGAAAATTCACATTTGATTTTCCAAGGACACGGGGTATGAAAGCAATCTTCCATTATTACAATTTATGGATCTGAAAACACTTCGCCTAAGGGAAGGCGTAATTCCTAAAATAACGGGCAAACAAAATGATAACTGACAATCGTTTGTATATAAGGCCACGTTTCAAAACAAGATTAGCACTGTTATCGACTGTTCACTCTTAATGCAAAGTATTGAATTGGTCTCTTATACACATCTAGATGTGTATAAGAGACAGGAGTACATACTGTAGACCTAATCATAAAAAATTGAAATAGAAAAACCACATTATGATTTTTTTAAATGTTAAAAAATTATTTTGAATCCGACTAAAATCAAATGAATGCACGATGGC